GGGGACTTTAAATAAACTTTATTTTTTTTTACAGCAGGGGGCAGGATCAGCACTGATCCGGCTCCCTGCACTTCACACAGAACCCGGAAGTGCAGGGAGCCGGTAGGTGAGTATACAGAGCACATGTGCTCGCTCTGACTTGCGGTCAGAGCGAGCACATGTGCTGGGCAGCCTGACCGGGTGCTCCCGGTATGCCTCTAATGCAGAGGCATACCGGGAGCACCATTAACCCCGCGATCGCCGCGATAGCGGCGATCCGGGGTTAATTTTACCGCGTGACGGACGAGGTCCGTCACCCGTCGTTAAGGGTCTCCCCTGTGTGACGGACCTCGTCCGTCACCCGTCCTGAAGGGGTTAAGGACCGGCCTGTTTTTGCGATGTTGTACGTTTAGGACCAGGGCTCTTTTAACACTTGTGGTTTGTGTTTAGCTGTAATTTTCCTCTCTCTCATTTACTGTTCCCATACAAGTTATATATTGTTTTTTTTCAGGACAAAAAGGGCTTTCTTTACATAGCATTATTTGTATAATGTCATATAATTTACTTAAAAAAATAAAATAAAATATGGTGACAAACTGAAAAATAAAAACATGTTTTTTGACTTTTGCTTGAAAAATCTTTTACTTACCTACAAAAGCTAATGAAAAAAACTGCTAGATAAAAAATTTTGTCCTGAGTTTAAAAACACCCAGTGTTTACGTGCTTTTTTGCTTTTTTTTTTTGAAAGTTATAGGGCTACAAGTACAAATAGGAAACTGCTGTTTCAAAATATATATATTTTTTAAATGTATCAATAGTGACTTTGTAACACTATTATCTGTCATAAATCTCTGAATCACACCCCGCATGTACATATTTTTTTTTTTTTTAAATAGACAACCCAGTGTTTTCAATATGGGGTATGTCCAGTCTTTTTTAGTAGCCACTTAGTCACAAACACTGGCCAAAGTTAGTGTTCATATTTGTGTGTGAAAAAAGTAAAAAAACTAAATTGAACGCTAATTTTGGCCAGTGTTTGTGACAAAGTGGCTACTAAAAAAGACTGGACATACCCCATTTGCAATACCTTGGGTTGTCTTCTTTTGGAAATAGTATGCCATCATGGGGGTAATTCTCATTCCTGGGTTGCCATATGCTCTCAAAGGCAACGTAACAAACCTGGCAATTTTCAATGCAAAAATATTTGACCTTTATATTTGACCCTGTAACTTTCAAAAACGCTATAAAACCTGTACATGGGGGTGCTGTTATATTTGGGAGACTTTGCTGAACACAAATATTAGTGTTTTAAAACAGTAAAACGTATCACAACAATTATATTATCAGTAAAAGTGCTGTTTGTGTGTGAAAAATGCAAAAAAAGTAACTTTCATTGACAATATCATCGCTGTGATATGTTTTACTGTTTTGAATCACTAATATTTGTGTTCAGCGAAGTCTCTCAAGTAAAACGGTATCCCCATGTACAGGTTTTAGGGTGTCATATAAAGTTACAGGGTAAAATACAGTGCTAGCAAATTAAATTCTCTGGACTTTCGGCCTGGGTTGTCAGGCAGGTCCCTCAAATTGCAATCAATAAAATTACTTAATTATGTAAAAATATTACATAAATACACACGTAGAAGTTAAATATATATGCATATTTATATTTTTGAAGTCTACGTGTATATGTATATAATTATTTATGTAATTTTGTAAATGGACATATGCATATTTTGTAGATATATATAATTTCATTCTAAGTGTATTTTGAGATATATATATATATATGTTAATATTAAAATACAGTTAGAATAAAATTTTATATAGATATATATATATTTTTTTACATTTTAATTATTATTTGTACTTTTTTATATACTTATTATTTGTATTCTTTAATAATATATTTACAATATATATAGATATTATACGTGTGTAATTTAATTATAAGCGTATTTTTATATTAATATATGTATACATAAATATAAAAATACAATTAGTATGACATTATATATATCTATATGATATATAGACATATATTATTTGGATATAATATATGTCTATATTCCATATTTATATACACATATAATTTTTTTTAAATTAACATTTACATTTATTTTTTATTTTTATTTTACACTAGCAGGGAGACTGCCTGTCAGCACAGGCAGTCCCCCTGCAGGCAGATACTAGGACACCTCTTGTGACCATGTGATCGCTCTGTTGAGCGATCACATGGTCCCCGGGGTCCTAATCCACCATGGGGAGACTGTCTGGGCTGCAGGCAGTCTCCCCACACCGGGAGCAACGCAGATCGCCACCGGGGGAATGACGGTGATCGGGTAAGTACATGTGATTGTTATGATGGTTCAGGACCGTCACCGGTCCTTAACTGTATGTTACCGATGACGGTCCTGAACCATCATCGGTCATCAAGGGGTTAAAGTTATACCTAAGGAAAAGTACTTACTAATTTTCTTTAGGTATAACCTGCTGTTTGACAAAGCTGACGTAGGGCCTTAGTCAGTGGCGAACTGAGGTAGAGAGTGCCCTCCACACCCCCTGTAAAAAAGATGTAAAAAAGGTAGATTCCCATCTGTCCTAGTAATGCTTTGCAAGCTGGGGGTCTACCTTTTGTCTTTCCTTGCAGTGTTGTATTTAGCACTGAGCTGTGTTCGTGTGTTTGAAAGTAAAAATGCTTTTGTATGGAGTTGTGTGTGAATGTAGTTGTGTGATTTTATGTACTATTTCCATTTGAATGCAACAGTGTACATTTAATCGGGATGAGCGGGTGGGCCTAAAAGGGTGCGTTGCCTGTGATGCAATTTGAATCACTGGTGGGGCTGCCATGAAGGAGTGACAGCCATGGCGGCTAGACATATCCAATTAGTTTTGTTCTGAATGTACATTTGCCGAACTGAACTGAATGACATTGGTCCGAATTGCCGAAGTGCTTTGGATTTCTGAAAAGTGGCAAAACAAGAGAGGGAGGGAAAAAGTACGTGAATGATGACAGGAATCTTGACCAATAAGCTAATTCCTGGCACTGGGAGCCCTACAGATGTGTAAGTGGTTGTGGTAGCAATCTGCTCATAATGGGCAGGGGGCTCCCAGTGCCAGGACCACCACCACAACCACTTACTAGACATGTGCAGTCCGTTTCATGCAATTCGGACATTCAAATGCTTACGAATGTCCGAATTGCTGAAGTCCCGAATTGCCGAAGTTCAGTAGTTCCGAAGTGCTGAACCGAATTCCATTTGTCCGAATTGCCAAAACAGATACATTTTTTTTTACTTACCCGAATTTCCGAACCGAACCAAACTAAACCAAATATTTTGCCCGTGCACATTCCTAATGACGGCTGTAAATGTATAAATTAACATCCAAGAGTTCCAGAATATGCATGAAGGCATAAATACAACATACACATATACAAAGGCTCACATGCACATATACATATAGACAAGTAGTGTATATGTACAAGTATACACAAGTACATGCACAATTTACACAAGTACATACAATGATATCCATATAAATACAACCAAATGCACAAATAAATGTACATGCACACCTATACATACATCCACTCACAAACACCAATACATTTACCTACACATGTACATATGTGTGTTGTGCGTGGATGTACGTATAGGTGTGCATGTAAATGTGGTCGTATTTATATGGATATCATTGTATGCACTTGTGTAGGGTAACCATATCATGTATGAGTGGGGAAATAGATGAAATATTACAACCTTTTAGTGCTGTATACAAAAATATAATACATGTAAAGAGCATATAGAGTACGTAAGAGAACAAACTCACAATTTTGGGGACTACTAAGAACTTTGCTGGAATCAGTGCGGATAGTATAATCCCCGTCCAAGGAATATATACACTGGTCAGTGGTTGAGAGTAATCTCCACTTCCAGTTGCAATGTTATGTGTAAATACACAAAACTTGACATCCAATGATACATTACCAAAGAACAAAAATGATAAATAATAAAAGTATGCTACTTACAGTTTTATGAGCAATATAATGCTCTAGTGACATAAGTATTGGTAATATAATCTCCACCTGGGAAATGCTGGAAGGAGGAAGCCGGTGGATAGACAGATAAAAAGATAAATCCCTCTCCAATATGGTAAAGAAATAAACTTTATTGGAAATAAATCAAAAACTATTATACAAATAAAATGAAAAAAATTAATCTAGGGCCAAAATTTCGATATCACAAGGTAAAGGGCACAAAAAAAGGGGGGTAACCCCTAAATAGAGATGTCGCAAACTGCTCGCCGAACTGTTCGCGAACTGTCCGCCGGCGAACAATAGCGTGTTCGCGTTGGGCGAACATATGCGATTTCCGGTCCGCCCCCTATTCGTCATCATTGAGCACACTTTGACCCGGAACCTCACAGTCAGCAGACACATTCCAGCCAATCAGCAGCAGACCCTCCCTCCCAGGAAGTGTCTGCTGACTGTGAGGTTCCGGGTCAAAGTTTACTCAATGATGACGAACAGTTCGGCGAGCAGTTCGGCGAGCAGTTCGCAACCATACTGCTAGATATACACAGATATTGTGGATCAAACCAAGTGTTTATCTGAGTATCTGCTCCTTTCCAAATTGTTAAAATAAATGCTTGCACGCTCTGAAGTAAATCACACTGAGACACAGGTATCAGGTTAATGAAAAACTTTGGAATGTTTACTCAGGGGGCGGCAAGCCCCTTATAAAGGCAAAAATACATCATATGCAAAAATGTAGATAACAGAGAGAATACATCTTTATTTGGTTAGGTGTTAAGTGTCTTATCTAATGCACATCCTACGAGGCGTGATGTCACCATCATCCTGGGATTTTACTCCGGATGTAGGCGCCATCTTGTTACACAAGGTAGTTAGTCGGTGGGAGGGGGTGCTCTAGCAGCCATTTTGAGTAGATATTGGATACAGGTATACACAGTAAATAGACATTTTACTATCACTAATTTACATTCATAACACAGAAATGAAGAATAACCCTCTGCTTATACAAATAATACGAACAGCCCACACACAAACATACACACAATCTGCACAAACGTAACCTACTAACAATCCACATATATGCACACAACCCCACATGCAGCCTCTCACATGCAATACCCCAAACAGCCCCCACACACTACCAAACACACAATGTGACATATCCACCCACACACAATTCCACAAGCAGCCCTCATACACAGCCCACATTCATATGTATCATACACAATATCATAAACTACTAATGAACATATACAATATAATAGCTTATATACGCACAAATACAACGATGCAAAGCAACTGCAGTAAAAATAACACAAGCAGAATATGGCAGCATACACACCTCAATTTAAAAAAAATAGGACCGGCACGCTACGGGACATCACAATCCTATAAAGTTTGCCTAACCCTGTTCTAGTGTAACAACGGCTGCCTGCACTGAATGATGTTATCTTCTGCTTGACCACAGCGGAAAACTGGAATGTATTGTTATGTGCACATGTAAATGCACGTCTGGTTGCAAAATGAAAAGGATTCTGTCCCTTCTTGGAAATGCGCACAACCTGATAGTTAATTAATAGTTAGCAATAGTTTGTGCTTTTAAAAAAACTTTTTTTTTTTAATACATTTTTTTCAAGTAGATTGGATAACTATCAAATACAGCCTGCCATGTAATGTAAATGTGTTGTCACACATAATGCAGCCCTCACTCACACACTGCACCCCTCACACACACAACAACCCTCACACACACGCACACACAATCTAGACCCCTATAAACACTCTGGGTTCTTCCCACAAACTAGATCACCTACACACAATATTCACACACTGCACAACCTACACACACACCACATTCTTGACATACACACTCTGGATCCCCTATGCACACACTAGATCCCAAACATACACACACTCTTTACAACCCCTACACACACTACATCACCTACACACATACACTACAGCCCCTTTGCACACACTCGCTACATTCCTATACACACTATGCCCTGTATACACACAGACACACTCTCTCCAGGCCCAAGGCACATGTCAAACACAGCACAACTACAACCGACCTAGTTACACAACATCACACCGCAATCAGCTCACTCTACACACCTTCAATTCTACAAGCAGGCTCCAAACACATGCACATTATTCTTTCCTTGCCCTTTTGTCCTGTGGTGGTATCCCACTTATGGTGACAAGTCACAAACAACAGTGCAAGCTTTTTGTAATAAGTGGGGGGGACTGATTAACAGCCAAACTGTATGCCAATGAAGTGTTATTGTGTTCTAATACAGGGATTCAAGCCCCATTCTACCCTTAGGCAATAATGGAGTCCTCTGTGATGCACATGGCTTTTCACCAGGCAAAACCAGTAGGGTTGTTGATAAACTCCTCCTCCATTCCCTTCCAGTTCAATCCCCCTTTCCCCATTAGGCACTCTGGTCCTAAGGGATTGACTGAGGGAGGTGTGTCCAGCAGAAGGAAGGGGTAACCTATTAAAAGCCCTGTGAATAGCACATTCTCTCTCTTTGAATTCACCCTCCTCACTATCTCTCTATTCCCTCTCCTCACTATACACACCCTCTCTCTCTTTTGAATTCAGCTGACGATCAATGGAGTGGTAAGTGTATCACGTGTCTATGCCTGTTTTACTATGTTAATTTAGTCTACTTTCCATTCAATCAATGACTAGTTTTGGTAGCAACATTTACTAGCCTATTTCAAATTTATATGTATTGTTTGTTTGATCTATTTTGATTTGATTTATTAAGCCTCTTAATAAATTTTATTGAATTGTCAAAGGCAAGGAGTGTGGTCTCTGACTTTACACTCAGTTTTTAAGTTATTATTTTTAGTTATTAATGTTATTATTAATTCCAAGTTTACTCCAACTTGCGAGTTAAAGTTTATTTCACTTTTTAATAAAAACACAGGGCCTTTTTCTCATGAGTAAGCGCTTCAGCTGAGCACTGCCCATTGAACCAACATGCTTACATTGAGAGGAGGCATACTTGTCATTGATGATGACAAAACACCCTCTCTAGCTCTGCCCCCTTATTAGTGAGTTTCTGTGATGCAAAAATGCCCTGGTTTAATTTTTTTCAGTCCGGCCCTGCATCCAAGCAAGCAAACACCAACACAACATGCAAACACAACCTTGCATTCAAACTTAAAAATTATATACAAACTCACTCCTTCACTCAAACACCAATGTTACGCACAAATGTACATCTGCATTTAAAACCCAACATTAAATACAAACACCCCTGTATTAAGACACTACAATTAAATACAAGCAACCCTTCTATCAAATAAATACACTACACACAAAAGGACACCTGCATGTAAAAGCCAACACAACATACAAACACACTCCTGCATTCAAACGCAAACACTACACACAATCAAACCACTGCATTCCAATGGCAACAGTACAAACAAATACACCCCTACATGCACACTTAAGAATGCTTCTTATCTGACATCACATTCTATGTTTCTATAGATAAGGCCAGGGACTAATGAAAGTATTTAGAAAATTGGGCAGACTAGATGGGCCGAATGGTTCTTATCTGCCGTCACATTCTATGTTTCTATACCAGGGCTTCCCAAACTTTTATGGGCCGAGACCCACTTTTCAAAATGGTAATTTTTCGAGACCCACTTGCTTTTAATGCATATTTTAAAAAGCACCATGGCAATAAGCTTTGGAGGCATACAATTGGCACACCATAGCAATCCGCTTTAGATGCACACAACTGACACACCATGACAATTACTTTTAGAGAAATAAAATTGGCACACCATGGTAAACAGCTTTAGAGGCATACAATTGGCAAACTATAATAATCCGCTTTAGATGCATACAATTGGCACACCTTGGAATCCGCTTTAGATGCATACAATTGGCACTCTGTTGAAATCCGCTTTAGATGCATACAATTGGCACACCGTGGAAATCCGCGTTAGATACATACAACTGGCATACCATGGCAATCAGCTTTACAGGCATACAACTGGAACATTATGGCAGCTTTAGATGTATAAAATTGGCACACTATAGCAATCCGCTTTAGATGCATACAAATGGCACACCGTGGCAATCAGTTTTAGAGGCACAAAATTGGCACACCATGGCAATCCGCTTTAGATGTATACAATTGGCACACCATGGCAATCAACTTTAGATGCATAAACGTGGTATATCATGCCAATCACTTTTAGATGCATAAACTTGGCACATCATGGCAGGGCCGGACTGGCCCACCGGGATACCGGGAAATTTCCCGGTGGGCCGTCGGCACCTGGGGCCGGCCCTTTAAATACTGCAGCCGCCTGAGCGCTCTGTAAAGAGCGGTCAGGCGGCTGCAGCTTCTCCCCTCCCTTCCCCTCCCCTGTAGCGTGGCCGAGCTGCACTCCGGT